AAGAGCTGCTCTGTCAACTGAGTCAAACGCAGCACGTATGTCCAAAAACACAATGATGGTCGATCTACTGAACGTTTGACGTTGCTCGAGGATCTGGCGTAGCGTAAATATGTGATCAACGACAGGGTGGAATCCCACTTGTTCTTCGCGAATTTGACGCACTCTTGTCCAACTGAGTCTGCGAAGGATCAACGACGTTAACAGCTTGGATGCCACAGAGATGAGACTGATCCCTCGGTNACGACGTCCGCCAAACTCCATTCGGATGGAATGGATTCAGTATTCCAGATAGTTTGAAATAAGAAAGTTAGTTCGCGAACAAAGCTTGCACCGCCGTCTTTGAAGAGGGCCGGAGGGAGTTCATCTGGACCGGGCGATTTGTGGCGTTTCAGAAGTCTGATCTCTCGGGAGACTTCTTCTTCGGTAGGCGATGAAATGTCCACAGACCATGAAGCACTACAGACATCGGGAGATGGAGGTGATGTCGATGGCCAACTGAATTGTTGATGAAAGTGCTCCGCCCAAGCCGACGTTGTAGATTGTGGATACATTCACCATTAGTTTCGCATATGGTTTCACTGACGCATGGTTTTTCTGTTACTGGCGGCTCGGATTAGTCGAAAAAGTTTGTGGGCATTCCCGGAAGCAGAGGCTAGTTCCATCTCGGAAGCGCATTGTGCCCACCATGTCTCTCAATCCTCTTTTAGGAACCGTTTCAGTTCAGCACTGAGAGTTTTGCGAACTGTGTTGTATTCATTGCCTGGAGGGATGCTTCGAGGAGTTGGAGAGAACTTGCCGAAACCCAGTGATTGACAGTGCGTTTGGTGAAACCACATGCTGTGGTGGCGGACTTATGTATGGCGTTAAGGATGCGAGTCCATTGGTTGTCTACGTTCGAGGATGGCAGACTGTTTAGATCAGCAGCTAACGTGTTTTGGTAGGCGGTAGCTACGTTTGGGTTGGTCAGTGTCCCATAAGTCCCGTTAGGCTCCTTGGACCCCGGGACCGTCGTAACTCGTGGTTAGGGGCACAGAGTGATATGGTACTATGAAATTTTGGCTCTATTTTTACTGGTAATACACTTCTCAATGATCTTATTTACACCGACTAACTATGTAGTAGGCTGCCGGTGAGCGCCGCTTAAGTTATCCTTATTCATCACGAAGGGACTGCATCTGAATATGCTCTGGTGGCTCATGCACCTCTGTAACGAAGATGGTTTGATTCGAGTCAAATGATCATATCTTGCCTGAAAAACTGGATCAATTACAGTCTCTTGGTCTTCCAGATTGACATCTCACTCGACGAAAATGATATATAAGTAATCAAATGAATCCAGTGAGCCGCCATTTTGTTTCACTGGTTAGATTGCGATCAGGATCCTAGGAGAACTAGGTGTTTTTACCGAGAACCCTTATGGTTTTCCTGATTGTTGGTTGGATTCTCCGCGAAGGATCGATAAATATTTGAGCTAAGCATTTACATATTATATAGACATTCGTGCAGGATAGTCTAAACCGCACTGTCCATCGAAATGAGCGGGCGGGTAGTCATAAGTGGATTGATGCTCAGACATTATCTCGTTTTCATTATCGGTCCTCTAGCCGTAGCCCTCCCGACCTGTAACATTCCTTCAGAAAACTCGTCTGTCACAAAAAAGCTTAGTGCTCAATAGCATTGGACCAACAAAGAAATCGTGGACTATGAAGCATCATCATGAGCCAAATCCGGGGGCTTCAGCCTGCAGATCCCCAAATAGGCCGAAAAGCAAGTGTACCTTGCGTGCAAAATTCAATCAGCAGCTATCCATAGGACCCCAGTAATATCAAGCAGTCTAGTGCGGCGGGTTTATCCTCAAGGTATCTCCTCTGCACATCAAGTGATAGTGAAGAGTGTACATTTGGTAACAGTTGATAATTGAATCGTCGCATGTCGAGTAGGTCCCCTTCAACAGTCTTTTGTGTGCGGTGAGCCTCCAGTGATCGTCTAGTTCGCGGAAGGGAAGCAAAAGTTGTTTGCTCTTCTCTGCAGTTCTGATGCGAAAGGACGGCTTTTACGACAATTACACCGAACTGATCCCGTTGAGTTGAAAATAATTTTATCAAACGCATTCAAGTTTCGCTCCAGGAACTACGGCTGTAGCTTCTACCGATATGTTACCAACGGTTTGAAATAACAATATAGGTGTTGAAAGATTTCCATCTACCTTGTAAACAGAACCCAGCAGCTAATCTGGGTACCACATTAAAATGCCTACTTTTCGGTAGTCCGTAAGTAATTAGACGCAGTTTGGACATACATAAACCAAGAATACTTCATACTATATCGATCGTTCGCAGGATTATCGGGACCGCGCTGCCCCTTGCATCGAGCGGGGTGGGTTAATGATAAGTGGTCTACTGCTCAGATGTCCTAAACTTTATTTCATTCTTTGTCTTCTGTATCCAGCCCTCTCCATTTGCTCATTCTTCTGATCTGTAATATTCCCTCAAGCAATTTAGATTTTACTCGTCAAAGTTGTTGCCAAATAGCACCGTAAGTAATTTACCACGAAACGCAGATTATAAAACCTCGTCAGTCACTGAATCTGAGAACCTTCAGAATGAAGACGGATGCGGGTAGGTCAACAAGCTTGTCTGACGCGTACGATGGAATCTTTATGGATCGCTATTTTCTGCGTTTCCTAGA